ACTAATGATTCGACTAATTGTAGTAAATTTTCCTTGAAATTGAATTCAACAGTGGTGGGAAACTTCTTGTTGGTAGTTCAATGGGAAATTTGACTGTTTAGGTTTATCAATTTCTAGGGATTTTTGTCCTTTATTTTGTGTATATAGTACGTCGTAGTTTATAACAAGTCGTGGTTGTTTTCTAACAGATGACATGCATAGGTTGAATTGGTTTTATTTCATTCAAATCTTCTTTTATGTTCGGAGATCCTGGTTCTGAAATTTCTAGACGTTATTCCAATATAAACTTTTGGACACTAGCCACATTTTAACTTGTAGAAGTCCGATTCGTTGTCTTTGTCGATGTTAGATTCGTTGTTTTTCATATTTCTACCTAAGGTGTTATCAGTCTCATAATGCTATGTTGATTTTCTGTTTAGTTAGTTGTTCACCTATCTTTTTTGATACCTTTCCTGTATATATCAAGTGTTTTGAAAGTGAATTATCTTTGATGTGAGGGTATACTTGTTTTACGGCATGTTTGAATAGTTTTTTAGCCAGAATGTGATGGAGTTTATATTTACTGCCATCTGTTTTACTGCTATGTACCTGCTGGAACCTGTTCCTAAAACTACCTGATTAGCAATTAGTCGGTAATTTGTATAAATTGCATTGTAAATTAGTAAATATATGATAATAATTGCATATCATTAGATTAAAACTCGGGAAATAGTAATTTCAAAGAATATTGCTGGCTGGCATAATGCCGAGAAGTTTCTAACGTCTCTTTGAAAATGGGCGAGAGCCAAAAGCTTAGTAAAAATTCCAAGAAACACTTCGCCTACAGACTTACTATCTCGTTAACTTTTTTGATCTCTTAATTTTCCAGCAACGTACTTTTCGTCCGTTGGAAAATTAATAAGCCCAGAAAACTAGGTCAATTGCTTTCGGCTGATGGCTACGTGGTTTCGGGCTGTGTAAAAATTCTAAATGAGTTTTTCGGTTAGAGGGTATTTCAAATATTTGCCAGAGAGTATTGCGAGGGATTGGTAAAACGAGAATTGATTTGGCAAATCGGTTGAATGCGTTTACGAGGATAGTGTTAAAGTTTTGACGATAAAAAATATTACTACTGGATATCACTAGAAATTGAATGCAATATTTGTTTACTCAAAACCGACTATCACTTTTATCTTTGGTATATCTTTGGATTAAACAATTTATGTTTGTCGGTCCAAAAACTAGAAATCCGGGGCTCTTATCAATTTGAAAGGTTGTTCTCTTAGAAATTCAATATTACTATCGAGGAATTTGGCCAGTTTTCCATTCCTGAATTCCTCTCGTGTCATGGATAATATCCTTCAGAAAATAAGAGATCAATTAGTACTTATTAGTTTCATTAGCAAATGCTGATTTTAAAATTACCTTACATTTAAAGAGTTGACAGGAGGATTTTAATGTAATTTTCTCTGCACCTATCCCACTGCTGACACCAAATTTTATGGCTCTAATGCTTCTTTATTACACGATATACCTCCAATTTATAAATGTAACCTGCTATGGTCCATTTTTGTACAATATTTCATGAACATGTTTCTCACAGAACTAAAGGAAAGTGTTTGTGAGAAAAACGTGTATATCCATGTTATCGTTGATTCAAGTCAGAAGATAATTGAAAAAAATGAAATAAATTTGTTGACACATGATCCTTACCAAAATTAATTTGCTCAATATATTCCCCTAAAAATAACTTTGCCAACGTTCTGATACTTATATAAAAAAAGCGTCTCCAACGTATCTTCCGATGGAACAGTAAAAATATTTTTCTTTTATCCTGATATCAAAGAACAGAATGAGTTATGGATCGGATGTTATGAACTTCAGGTGATTCATCATAAATATTTTCTTTTCCCGCCGACTGATTTCTTTTTGTGGTAATTTCCTTTCAAACAAAAAATGATTTGTGGCTGTTGGTGAAGTTGAAATCAGCAATAGAGATAAAAGTTACTGACCACGTCATTTTAACGATCCCTAATGTTTCCAATAGACGAAGCCCCAAATCATGTTCAGAAGATTCTGATGAACATCCAAACTATATTACTTTGTTAACATACTTAGTTAACCCTGTAAATAGTTTTCAACTGTGTCAAGTAGAGATACATAAGTATAAAGAAATGCATATTTCAAAATTAAATATAGAAACATAAATCTCTTCCAAAGTGGGATAAAGTAAATGCCGGTAAACAACTACTTTCCCGATGAGTCTATCAAAAAATCTGAATGTTTGATTTTTCTTGAGACGCAATTGGCATACAAGCACTTGAATTATACCCTGCATTGTACGTCACAAAAATAAAAGAAGATGATTATCTTCCAAAAGTGTCATTCAATTTTATGAAATTGTTCATCTTGTTCTAATCAATATATGGATTCAAAATTTTCTTCTGTCTCTCGATGTAAAAACTATTTTGAAGATAATGTTTGGCAACTATTCATTTACTTGTGATGCACTGTTTGGAACCTCTGGTGTAGCAATTGATATTACTGGATTAATATTACTAGAGTTCCTCTTGAAGGTGATCATTTGGTGATCGAAACACGTGTCGAGCTGTTGAAATAACGGTTTGGTGTTGGGAAAAAACTCCAGTAATATTCATTAACTATTCATTATTTCCGTGTCACTGTTTTTCGAGTTGATTTTTGGAAATTTTTCCTGACGTTTCGCTGGCGCGAGTGGCTAGCTTCTTCAGAGGTTTAACCATCATGGCTTGCTGTCCGATGACTAACTTTTAGGCTTCGTATAGCGTACCTATTTATGCCTTGTCAGGTAATCAGTTGTATTGGTACCTGTAGTTGTACCTCTACTTGTACCTGCACTTGTACCTGTACTTGAACCTGGAACATTAACAATCTTGCTGCCTGTTGCCATTCTATTTGTTATTCTCGAATTCCTTAAAATGGGGTTCCATATTCGATTGAGGTTCACCGATTCTTCTTTTCTGTTGAAATTCCCCGTGTGTTTGTGGATCTCTATTGCCTCCCGTACCAGTCGGCTATAGTTATAGTATCACTGGTTGGGGGCAATTAGTTCTGTGTTTTCAAACAAAATTATGTGGTCTCCTTCACTAAGTGCGTGTTCTGCCACAGCTGACTTGTTCGCTGTGGCAGAACACGCAGTGTTCTGTCTGCAGTTCCTTTTATGCTCTAGTCTGCAGTTCCTTTTATGCTCTTTCAGTCTTGTTCCCATGGATCGTTTGGTGGTTCCGATATATACCTTCCCACAAATGCACGGTATGCGAGAGACTCCTGCTGCTGATAATGGGTATCTTTTGTCTTTAGCCGACCTGAGGCTTTGTTGTATCTTCCTCGTGGGTTTGAAGACTGTTTCGATATCGTGTTCATCCAATAGTTTTCCAATTCTGTCAGTGAGGATGAACGGTAGATATGCGCGTGCAACCAACCATCTGATCCTTTTTCGCTTTTTGAACAGTGGTGCTCTTCGGTTTCATGGCTTTCCTGATCTGGGAGGCACTGTATCTATTCGATCTCAAGATCACTTCAAGGTGTTTCAGTTGCCTCTCCAGATGTGTTGGTTCACATATTCTCCGAGCCCGTTCCGTTAGAGTGGAGATGACTCCTCTCTTTTGGCTAGGATGGTGGTTCGATAGTGCGTGCAAGTATATATCTGTGTGTGTGGGTTTTCGATACACTTTGTGGGTTAGTACGGTACCACATAGTTCTACTAGTACATCTAGGAAGGCTATCCGTTGGTCCCGCTCAATCTCCATGATGAATTTTATGCTAGGGTGTTGGGCGTTCAAGTGGTCTAGGTAACGGTTCAGGGCGTCTCTTCCATGTTTCCGGATGACGAAGGTGTTATCCATGTAACGTAGACACAAGGTCGGCTCCAATTCAAAAGTGTCTATCGCTTTTCCTTCAAACCGTTCCATCAAAATAGGCCTTATATGCTTCAAATAAGGCCTATTTTTAGCTGCTCCCACTATTGCTATTTTGAAAACGATACGACCTACAAGGTCGGTTGAATTGGACAAAAGTTTCCTATTTTGGGCAACAAGAATAATCTCTTTTCAGATCGAGAATATCAGTGGTTGTTTTTGAAATATTCGTCAAAATCTAGAATTGTCGAATTCCGTTTTTTGGCTCTACCGCCTCCATTTCGAATGATATAAAAAAAAGGCAAAGAAACTTTCAATACTGTTTCATATTTGTTATAATCTGATACAAACCAATTTGCGAAGCGACGTTTCCATTCATTACATTTTTTCATCAACTTTATTTTTCAAACAGGACTTGCACTGTTTTTCATCGATTTTTGTAGACACTGTAATAACAAATTGAATCGCTAAGCTCCTTACGTTAGGGCGAGTAGACGCGCCTCAATCCTACAAACCCTACCTTATGAATAACAGTATATTATAACATCAATGTTAGAAATCTACATTATCTACAAGTAACATAGTCTACTTTTTATCGGGATATCCCCTCGGGATCGGAACCTATGCAGGTGAATTAGTTATTTTATAGAAAGTTAAAACTGGACCTGGAATAAATTTCAAATATCGCAACTTGGTTGATGAAACGGGCGTCCAGAAATGTATTGCAGTTCTCGAAAAAGGCAGAAGTTTTCGTTTTCAGAAGACCTGAACTATGTTTGACGATAAAATTACAACTTAGAATTACTCGAGATCACTCGCGAATGCTGCGTAGGAAACCGACCACGAGACTGAGACACTCGGGTACCAAGTAATTTTAAACATTCGGTGACGCCCAGTTAACATGGAACCGGGCGGCGGTGCACATTACATATTGTTTTACGGAATGAATAATAAAGTGCAACAATCAAAAGCATAAGCTTGGTTGTTTGGAGCCGTATCCAAATCCCTTTTTTTTTCTTTACTGTCAACTTATCTCGGCTAAAAAAATTATGACGCTTGTGTAAATATCCATTGACCATGTTGAAATTCCACGATTATTATTAGTAAAAACAAAAAAACACTCACCTGTCGAATATCCTCGCCTCTTTGAGCACGTTGCCGAGATTGATGTAAGCGTCCAAAAAGTTCGGATCCAGTCCAACGGCTTTTTCGAAATGGTGGATGGCCAACCAAATTTCGCCTTGCGCGTTGAATACACATCCCAGATTGCTCCAAGCTACGGCGAAATCTGGCCTAGTTTCTATGGCCTTCAAGTAGCAAGCCTATCAGGAAATAATCGAAATTAGGCGAGGTGCGCAGTGACTCTAACGGCGTCGCACGCGCATCCGCTTTCGGGGGACCTCTCGGAAAAAATCGCCAAGTTCGCCGCTGCATGACGCATCAGAATCGCCTGGCACAACCCTTGGTGCAGGTGGAAAAATATCGATCAAGGAACTAAGTGAACCAAATGGTTGTGGTGATCACTGAATGAAGTTTGAAAAAATAACTCAAACGCATGCTTCTGTGCATAGTGATGCATCAACAGGTTAATACATAAACCATGAGTTAGCTCTGCCTTCCAAGGCATACTGGTCAGATGTTTCCTTCTTTCCGGGTAATTCCGGGGGAGAAGGCCGTACGGGAGAGATGGCCAATAGAGAAAAGGTCAAATAATAATAGATTTCACTAGTCATCGGCACAGGTAATAACTGTCAGTGGATTTTTTGTCGAAAAAATAATGAAACGGTAAGTAATTTGACTTTGTTTTTTATTATGCATGCGAGTTAACATATTAAGTGATCACAAAAAGATTTTGAAAGTTATGTCGGTTTTCGTGCTTTGCCAGTGAAGTAATAAACTTCTCCGGTGTTCTAACCTCAAAATTACCGACCAACTTGAGAAATGTCTTTAATTACCCAGACAATTAGGAGAGATGGCCATAGTATTTACTGAAGAGATAGCAATGTATGTCCTAATTTTGATTTATTTTTAATCTTCAATATTTTGTACAGATGCCGAACCTGTACGTAAAAAGGTGGCTGCTGGTCGAGGTGAATGGAGCCAAGAAGATTTAAAAAATGCTATGGAAGAAGTACAAAATCGAGGGATGGCGATTTATAGAGCCTCTTTTATCTACAAAATACCAATAAAACACTTGCTTTTCTTTGACTATAAATGATTTAATAATTGCATTCAAGTTTGCTGAGCAATTAGGAATTAAACATAGATTCTGTAAAACATCTGAAAAGGGGGGCTATGATTGGGTGAAAATGTTTCTGAAAATAAATTCCGATATTTTATTGAAAAAATCAGAAGGGGTGTCATACGCTAGAGAAGTCAAGGGATGAATAAATCAGAAGTAAACGCCTATTTTGAAATGCTTGAGAAAACTCTCAGTGATAATGACCTTATAAACCAGGACATATTTACAACATGGACGAGTCCGGGTTGCAGTTAAATAATCGACCAGCTTGTTTTGGCTGAAAAATGTTCCAAGGCTGTATCTACGTCAACCTCTACAGAAAAAGGAGAAACGATAACGGTAATTGGTTGTTGTAATGCTGAGGGTAATTGTGTGCATTATGGAAGGACAACGAAAGAAACCTGCCTCCAGGTTCAGTAGTTTATATGTCACAAAAATCCGCCTATATAACCTCCGACATATTTATGGAATGGATGAAATCGCATTTCTTGCCTCGAAAACCAGATGGCAAAGTGCTTCTTTTGCTGGACGGTCATTCTACACACTGCAATGCAGTTAAAATGCTGGAGTTTGCTAACGATAATATCATCTTACTCTCAATGCCGTCACACATATCCCATTACATTCAGCCGCTGGAAGTTGCTGTTTTCAAATCTCTCAAAACTTACTTCTATGAATCCTGCAGGTTATGAATGAAACAGCACCCTGGTTGTCGTCTAACAAGACAACAATTTGGCTTCTTATTATTCCAAGCCTGGGGAAAATCAGCGACAAGTGGAAATGCAATATCAGGATTTAGGACAGCAGGAGTTTTCCCTCTAAATCCAGGAGCTATTCCGGAGTACGCCTTTAGTGACAACATTGAGTAACCCGTTGAAAGAAATCAGGCAGGCCCCCAAATACATACACTCAAGTGTACACTTGAAAAAGCTACTGTGCTAGCGAAATATGTTGTGATTATATTTTTTCAAATAAAGTTTGTGGAGATCAAATCGTGGGGTGTAGTTTTTGAAATTACTATGGATCTTCATCAAGTAACTGCCGAATCAATCAGAAAACCGACAAGAGTATTTAACGAAGTGTCTCCACTGCCTGTGAAACTACACGAAGTTTACAAGCGAGCGAAACAACTAATCATTCTTTTGACATCTGAAGAGCATATTGAAAAACGGAAAATGAAAGAAAATAAAAAATAAAATAGGGAACAAAAGCCAAAAAACCCAAAATAATAAAAACAAATACTAAGACTGCTAAACCTGAGGAAAAAAAGACTGCAAAGAAACGAAAGGTAATTCGTAGGTTGTCTGATAGCAACTGTGAAGAAATTACCATCGTTTTCAATGATACCTCTGAAAGTGAAACTGAAGACAGAGAGAAAGATAACTGCAGAGGTTGTGGTGATAATTATTATAGGACACAACTGATAGAAGATTGGATGCTATGCAATATTTGCATGTTCTGGGTGCATGAAAATTGCACCAAGTTTGGGGACATGTGCGGTAATAAAAAAAAGGAGCTAAAAGATCCCAAAGGCAAAGGGAAAGGCAAAAAAAGTATTGGCCATCTCTCCCCGACTGCTATGGCTATCACTCCCGGACATCCTGGGAGAGATGGCAAGATGTTATCAATTTTCAACAAACTTCAGCAGCGATAATTCCTTCATAAACTCTTTCAGATCGATTGATTTCTCCACCAGCAATGGCAAATTCGATATCAAACCTGCCTCGGGTCGTACCAACAATTTACGCAACAAGCCTAACGCATTACGCATTTCAGAAATTACCAAAAACAAACGTCTAACTACGCCAAACACCACATCCAGACAACCACTCGCATTCATTGAAAAATATATCAGAAGCGCGAATGCCAGTGACGCAAAGAGAGTCCCCGAACTCCGTAACCTAAAAACAAAGACCATCGTTATCCATCGCTTGCGTACTTTACCTGACAGTTAAGCCAAATGGATTATCGTTTTATACCAGACTGCCTGCGATGGGTTGACAAAATCGACCAAATCTGCCACATACCTGTATTATCGTACAGCAACACAGTAATGCCATTAGTGAATGTCTTTACTCCTCATTCGATAGATAGATGTTACACTTTGATTGTTTGGCCGCAAAATGAGATGTCACCAGCATTTTGGAATTTTTACGGACAATTACTTTACAACGACGACGAATGAAGTTGAGCAAATTTCTCATCCTCGCAGATGGAATATCTCATTATATCTCGATGCAAGCACCTACAATACTCGATAATTCAGTGTAAAACTTATTCTTGAATTTTTCAGTCTACCTCAGTAGAACGGAGTTGAAATCGGGGAAACACCAAAATGTGGAATGTGTTATAGTATTAGGTTATTTCAAAAGTTTTGTCCGTTTTGATATCACGTGTTATTGTAATGATAATAATAATATCATTTATTGCCCAACAGGTAACACCCAATTACAGGACATAATTAAATACATCAGTACTGATAATAGATAAAATATATTAACAAATAATGTTCGTTCTTGACATGCTATATGAATATAACATAACAATAATATATAACATATAATAGGAAAACTAAAACAAAAGAAAAAACTGATAGCATAACTATTCATTGTGCTACTTGGTAAGAGTGATTATAATAACTGACTCTCTCAGAACACAAAGAAAAAACCGTTTTGATATCACTTTAAGATTTCCATTGCATTTCTATCACAAAAGCTGCATATCGAGTTGTAGTTTTCACACATATATTTAATTGGAGAATGCGACATTATGTTTGTTCGTGCTGCAGAGCAGTAAAATGTGAGATTCAGCCGTGACTGAGGTCTTGGCACCCTAAAGTTCAGTTCTGACAGGAGCAAATGACAGTCTACTTGGCTATGCAGTAGTTTATGCAAAAAGGTTATTGAAGCACATCTTCTCCTTTTTCCTAAAGAAATTGATTGAAAGTGATTGAGAAGACTATAGTGTTAGAACCCCTAGCTGGATAAATTCCAGTGTTTTTGAAGTACAAGAATTTCAAAAATTTTCTTTGAACTTTTTCAATTGAGTACTCATGACAGAAATAGTAGGGGCTACAAATAATTGAGCAGTATTCAAGCTTGGATCTGACATATGAGAAATATAATATCTTCAAGGCGTTTATGTTTGTTAAGTTTTGATAATTTCGTGTGATAAATCCTAACATTTTATTGGCTTCGGAAACTTTTTTGTTTATGTGTTTGGCAAATGCCATTTTAAAGTCAAAAAATACACCTAAATCCTTAGTCTCCATACAACGGGTTAGCAAACTACCTTGAATATTGTATACCTATATTCAGATGTAGGTTATTAATTTCACACCAAGCCTGCACATTATCTATATCTTCCTGAAGTGTTATGCAATCATTCACATTTTGGATAGAATACAGTATTTTCAGATCATCAGCAAAAAAAAAATCATAGAATTTATTTGTGTGCTTAAATCATTGATAAATATCAAAAACAACAGCGGTCCCAAATTCGATCCTTGGGAATCGTGTTATTGTAGCTACATATCTCAATAAATATTTATTCTGCTGCGTCGTGGTATTTACTGATCTATAGAGAATTTTGTACTCTATATATTGATGCTTTTAGTTTTTCCAAATTTCAATATTTTGTCTCTTCCCAGCTTATTACTATATTAACCAGGCATTTGGCAATGTTGATAATGATAATGAACGCACTTTTCAACGTTGGTTTGCAAACTTTCATTCCAGAGATCTTAGCCTCGAAGATGAGCCTGGAAGCGGTCGATCTACAGTAATCCAGGACGAGGATTTGAGGACCCTGGTGGAGACTGATCCATCACAAATGGTTCGTGGGATGATTGAAGAACTGGGCGTCAGCTCCCATGCGGTTTTTGATGGTTTAAAACGTACTTGGAGGGTCAAAAAGCTCGACAAGTGGGTGCCCCACGATTTGAACAATCGACAGAAATTGTCACGTTACAAGGTGTATTCTTGCTTTGCTTTTGCGCAACCAATACGATCTTCTTTTGGATCGGATCGTCACGTGTAATTCGAAGTGGATCCTCTTCGACAACAGGAGACCTTCAGGACA